TCATTATTATTTATATTTATTTATTATTATTTATTATTATTATATTTTTTTATAATATTACAGTCTAAATTCACCAGTTTTGTGGATCAAGAGGATCGGTTATCTGAGAACCTACTGAATTACTATATACTTATAGAATTATATGAAGTTATATTTATTTCATTACTCATTGTAATCGTCAGAATGTCATTGTAATCGTCATCTTCACAGTAAAAAAAAAACAATATAAACTACGACAACAAAACTAATTATGAAGATAATGATAACATAAAAAGTAATAGTGAGAATACAATGAATTATGGTAGTTAATAATGATACGTTTTATCCTGATAATAATGGTAATCATATAATATAGATAGCAGTAATCATGTATATGCTAATAATAGCAGTACTATTATTATCATGATAATAATTATGATAATAACAATAATGAAAATAGTAATGACAGATTTTGATATAATTTCATCTTTCATGGTAGCGATAATATTAATGATAATAATTATAGATAAACGTAACAACATGATGATGGTAATAAAAATAAGAACAACGAATGGGGCAGTAATGATGATGATTATGAAGATAATAATATTATATTGCTGTTTTTTAAAAGATTATAATGATATTGATAATGCTAATGCTAATACTTTTTATTATTATCATTATTGTTATCATTATCATAATCACGGTTATCATCATTAAAGTTATCATCATTATTATCATTTTAATATAATAAAGACAATGATGATAATAATAATGATTATGATAATAATAATAATAATAATAATGATAATAATAATAATAACAATAACAACAACAACAACAATAATAATAATAATAATAATAATAATAATAATAATAATAATAATAATAATCATAATCATAATCATAATAATAATAATGGGATCATTTTCATCATTAGTATTAATAAGGGTAACAGTAGTATTTTTTTCATTGTTTCCTGATTGCTATTGTTATATATCATCATTATTATTATTGTTATTATTATTATTATTGTTATTATTATCATTTTTTATTATTATTATTATTATTATCATTATTTCGATTATCTATTAAAATGTTGATGGTGATGATAACACCATTAAATCTATAATGATAGTGTTGATAACGAAATTATTGTATTTTAGAAAACTAAAACCATCTCTTATAAAAGAGCCATCATGATATAGTAATAAACATCCCCTAAAACAACGGTACTGATAGAATATATAATAATAATAATAATGATAATAAAACAACAATGATAAATAGAAATACAGTTATTGATATTATTAACAACAATAACAGATAAGCACTTCGAAAGAAATATCATAGAATAAGTGTCAGTGTCATCTATCACCAAAGAAGAGAATCAGTATAAACCAAACAAGCAAAATGACAAAAATCATAAAAAAGAAAGTTAGCGATAATGATAACAGTTATTTAGTGGCGCTGACCTCAAACCGACGATGGTGAGAGGATATATATATATATATATATATATATATATAAAAGCAGAATGAAAGAGAGATATCACTCATTCTTTACTTCCTACGCTACTAAGATGGCTTTGAGGGTGAGTTCTAGAAATGGCTTGTTAAGAAGAGGGACATGCCAAGAAGACATACTCACATAACACAGGTTTTAAAAGAACAATGATCTTATATTTTGTGCTTTGGTTGATATTTGAGGTGGAATTTTCAGATATGTCGATTGTTTTATGAATGTAAATTGAATTTATCTTCAATTTTACAATGATTGTAGATTGCTGCTCTCTTCGCCTTGATGGCAGTTGTTCTTACTGAGTCTATTCCTAGATACAGTCCTCCTGTCCCCTCCTATAATGCCCCTGCACCCGCACCTTCGGTAAGGATGTAGCGCATAGTACTCGCATATATTATTCTGTCATAGTTTTGTTTAATGTTTTATTTCTCTGACTGATATTCTCGGTTTGTAATGTTTTTTTATTGATTAATTATGATCATTGTTAAGTATCATTGAATAATTTTCATTAGTTCTTATTACATGGATATTATTGATTTTCATTACTTTATTTTTAATCAAAATTTTCATCATAATGATTATTATCTTTCATCAGGGACCAGCGCAGTACGACTTCAACTATGCTGTGCAAGACAACATCGGAAACGACTTCGGTCACCAAGAAGGACGAAACGGATACGACACTCAGGGTACCTACTACGTCCAGCTCCCCGACGGTCGTCTCCAGAAGGTCACCTACAATGTGAACGGCGATTCTGGCTTCATTGCTGACGTGGCCTACCAGGGAGAGGCCCAGTACCCTGCTCAATCCTACCAGCCTGCTCCTGCCCCTTCATACGGCTAGATTTACTGTATACGGTTAACTGCTATTCCTTCTTATGTTTAATATCAATAGCTCTGTACAATGGCCTCATCATTTTGAATAAATATGGATGGTGAAACGTACTGCTGACATTCTCTATTTAATTAAGATTCTTATTTGTCCATCTGACGCAATATATGGAAATTGCTATTGGTACATATAAGGCATGGTACATTGAATTACCTAAAATTGGGTTTCTAAAACTTGAAACTGCGGATATAAATTCTCCATGATGAAGAATTCTAGTGAGAGAAGAGTCTCGACCTTGGAACGGGTAGATTAAAAATGCGAAATGGATTAACGCACACACCGACACTCAACACATTCGCAATTTAACTGTATGTATATGTTTATATACATGTGTATGTAGACCAGACCTAAACACAATACTATAAGCGCACACAATACTATATGCATTTTTTATATACTGGTATAGTTAATACCAGAAAACCAAAATATCCACACACCACACACGCGCTGCATGATATAATATATAATATATGTATTGTTAATAAACATACAGCCACAATATATGTGTAATATAATAAATTTGGTGTGAGTGGTGTGTGAGTGTGTCTTAATAATATACTCCGGTCCTGAGATGTGTGTGCATGTGTGTTGTGTGGGTGTTGTGTCGTGTGTGTCGTGTGTGTAATGTGTGTGTGATGTCGCTGTTGCTGTAAGAATGTGTGTGTGTTGTGTCGTGCGCCCTGCGTGGTGGTAAGTTCCGACGGACACGTATGGCCTATGAGTATAAGCACACAACACACACCCACATAACACACACACACACACACACCACACACACACACAGGCACACACACACACCAACACACACACACATCCATATATACTAGTATATACACCATAATAATATATTATGGATGTATATATATATTAGCTATAACGTATAGTATATGACCATTTTGTTTGGGTTCGTATGTATCGGTTGGTTAGACTTGTAGTGTTCCTATCATACTTAAGGAGTGACAGAATGATCCATTTTCTGATATGCCTTCTTATCCGCAGTATTCAATCCCGTTTTTCATCTAGTAACCTCCTAGCACACTGACTAAGTATCTTTGAAAATTTCTTAAATAGAATGTTCCAACGGTGAATGTGGCCACAGAAATTTGTGAATAAAATCCTGCTACCAATTCTCTACTGGTGGGTAGATAAGTTATGAGCTTATTAAGCATCCTTGTCCATCTTTAGGGTCGTATGCGTATGGTTTGGTGTTAAATACTTGTCATCATATGGGTTTTATTTATTAATATATTGGTAGAGATGCTATGCATAAATAGTAATATAAAATAATATTGCTATATAAGGGACTGTATAATACCTAATATAAACATATATTATATTATCTATTATTAACGGTAGGATTAATACACTGAGAAGGTACGAATATAAACGTATAGGTATTATAAATATATTTATATTTATTAGTTATTAGCACAGTAATATTAGTATGTTATTATCGATGTTACCAGGCATCGATACGTAGCAGCTATGCTACATACTACACTATAATATACGTGATATATATAGGTATTGGTATATAGTTATCCATATAGGTAGCCTATATTATATTATATATATATTATATAGCTAGTGATGCAGTAGATGTACACATACATATGCTATGTATGATTATATATGCATGTTATGTATCAGTTAACATGGTATAGATAGGTTAGAGTAGAAGTAGATAGTCATATATACACTACATTCACCACACCACATACACAAGACACACACGACACAATACATAGCGCACACTCAAACTCAACATAAAGCACCACATATTACTGACATATATATAAAATCCAGACTAGGCTGGCAACAACACCACACACACGACACCCGTCACACACACAACACACACACTAACACACACCACACGACACTCTATTCTCACCATTATGTATCTCTATAGATATACTATAAATATATAAAATATATATAGCTACTATATATAATCAGATGATTATTTATATATATAATATATGTACTATGTATAAACGTGTTATAGTTACTTATATATAATACTATGATAGCAATTAATATATACGTGTGATAAACACAAGTATTAATAAAGGCACGGTTCGTTGTGTTGTTTTGTATGTATATCACGAGAGATTTACTGATTCTGATTAGTACAGATAAAACACGGAGTACTTGACGCTCCACAAACACACATAACATATCATCACACCACCCTGACAACACACACATCACGACAGCACACACAAAACACCGTCTGGTCAACACACACACACAATATAATACTAAATCAACTAGTTATATCTGAGGCCTGTGATATAGAGATCATTGGTTATTAATATATATGAAAAAAGAAGTAGAACATTAGTATATATATTATACGTGATATAAGTAATATATACATAAGAAAATAATAATACGTCTTCTCTATATACGTACTCAAGTATACCATATAAATACTAATATAACTGAACAGAATGATGGTATTAAATATCACAATCATCCTGTTGTTGCGATGAGAGACATCACAACAAAGACAGGAGCATACTTTATGTCATTATATAGAGTTACAAATTAGAAAAGGCTACTTAGGAGCTTATATATATATAGGCTACAAAGAATAGAACTTTATATATTTATTATATGGGAAGGAATAGTACTCAAGATATATATTATTATATATACTATATTTATACATATATATATTTATTATATATATATAGTATATATATATATATATATATATATATATATATATATATATATATATATATATATATATATATATATATATATATATATATATATATATATATATACACACGCATTACATACAGAAACGTGGTGTGTATACATACATACACATACATACATACATATATATAATATATACATATAATATATAATATATATATATATATATTATATATATATATATATATGTATATAATATATATAAATACATATACACACAAAAATCTATCAAACATATAACCATTTTTTTTTTATTTTAGTGCTGAAGTGTCGAGAAAGTTGGTTAGTAAATTGATATTACTTTGCGTCACGAAGCGACATAAAAAAATCGTTACACACGAAACATGTTATATGACAAGAAACCTTTTCTCGTTTCATACGTTGCCTAAAGCAAACATATTAATAGCCAGAACATTTAGTATGTACATGCAAAGGGATCTGTTCCAAATCTGAAGACTCGTTCTATTACTTCCACTGTGCTGCTGAGAAACATAATTTGATCATGAAGAATGGAGAAAGAGTTATACGAAGTCAGTATTTTAATTATAAACGGTTATAAACTAGAGTAAGTATCAAGAAACACAGAATTAAAAATTGAGTGTCGTTGGTCTCAAGCAAGCAGTGGGCGGAGCTTAGCGCACAGTATAAAGACCCAAGCACCCACTGAGGAACACCAGTCTCATTCACCTTCGCTGCCACCGAGATGACTCCAGGGTAAGTTTCTGGGAGAAAGTCATAGCAAGAGGATCATTCAGTATAAACTATAAAACTCATAGTTATGTTGTGTAGAAAAAAAAAATAATGGGCAAGTGATAGATCAATCGGAATTCAGTTGAAGCAATAGCAATAGTAATACAGACAATAGTAACGATAAAGATATTGATGATTATGATCAATATTAAGTGCTTATGAGGATAATTATTAATAAATTTCTTCATCATAAGCAAGAATCTTCTGATGGATAAAAGTACAGTAATGCATATACCAGTTACATATGATAATTTTCCCAAATGATGATATATACAAAGTGTAAATTTGCAGACCGTTGCTTTCTTCGCCTTGTTGGTGGGCGCCCTTGCTGAATCTGGCCCAAGATACAGCCCTCCTGCCCCATCCTACCACGCCCCTGCACCAGCTCCCTCGGTAGGATTTCTTATAAACATTAAGAAAAATAATTAGATTTACGCGATTGCACCGTGATAACATTTACGTGCAGAGTATTTTAAAGGCTAAGGTAATATGAACCTTTTTTTTCCAGGGGCCAGCACAGTACGACTTCAACTATGCTGTGCAAGATAACATCGGAAACGACTTCGGTCACCAAGAAAGCCGAAACGGATACGACACTCAGGGTACCTACTACGTCCAGCTCCCCGACGGTCGTCTCCAGAAGGTCACCTACACTGTCAACGGCGATTCTGGCTTCATTGCTGACGTGGCCTACCAGGGAGAGGCCCAGTATCCTGCTCATCAGCCATCCCAATCCTACCAGCCTGCTCCCAGTCCCGCATATGGTTAATTGTCACGAATGTTTGTGATTGATGTTGAATTCTATGTACAATTTTGAAAATAAATGTGAATCTTGAATTTCCATTCATGTCAGTTACCGTTCTGATTTTTATGTTATTCTACAGGATATTAGCAAAAAGAGAAAACAAACTGTTTACAAGGTAAATATCTATTTATCATAACGATGGTACTAGATACAGAAGCAATCAGACATGCACACACACATGTATCCAACAAATATAAAAGTATGCACACACACACACACACACACACACACACACACACACACACACACACACACACACACACACATGTATATTATACATGCATATGTTTGCCCAACATGTATGTACATGGTTCGTTTTCTATTTGTTTCATTTCTGTTTTAGAATCGGTTAGTCATCACAATTCACAAAGATTAAAATCAGAAGAGATATTTGACAGTATAACATATATTATTCATAGATACAAAGAAAAGGTTCTTTCAAGTGTACATCATAACATATGAAAATAAGATTTCCAGACTTTTCTTGGTGTGGAGTTTACTGTGAAGGAGCCGATTGGGGAAGCAGCAAGTTCGGCTAATTTCCACTCCTTCACCAGCCGATTTCCGAAATCAATAAAATGGCTGTAACAAAATCTAGTATAAGAACAGAGTTATATACACTCCCACTAACTTTACAAAAGTAATATGCCTATTTAAATATGGTGTTCGAGGAAGCCATAAATTACTTACGAGCAGGTGTACCAGTGCTCACACGAG